AATGTCAAACTTTGTAAACGTCCTGGGGGCCTGGCGATTGTGTTTAGAGCATGGTTGTTAACTTTTCCACGAATATATGTCACTGAGGATAAGTGAAAAGGAGAAACCCGTTGATAAATCTTCAGGTTTTTAATAGACACAAAAATCAAACGCATAATGAGTTATAGCACAGGTTGTGGGTCGTAATGGTATCTCAACTTTACTGATCTTTGAGAAACCAAGAAACTGAAATAAGCATTCTATGAAATTTAACGATCTAGAAACACATCAAAACACATACATCAGAAAACAATATTTTCCGACTAATAGAAGCAAAGCATAGATAAAAGACCTCTTGTCACGGTCGTGTACTAATCAATATAACTCAATATATCAACAGATTGTGTTGTTCCTCAACCTTTGTACTTAATTTTGACATACACTCTTTGCCAATTGTTGCACTATAACAGTTCTTTACAGATCCATTTTCCACGTTACTCTTTTTACTTTTAAACAGTTTATTTTCTACCTACAATGACTCAAACTCAGGGACTTGCATTCTTGACCAGTGAGGGTTTCTCGCTAAAATATCAGACTTTGCAGTTTCCATCTTGGTCTTGCAAACTCAACCTGGCATTTTAATTCACTCATAGAGCACACGTCAACTTCAAAGGGGTGATATTCTTCTTCCTTTTTATCAAGAATACGATAACATCTACCCTGGCCTTTTGTTGCTACTCTACCAGCTTTGAAGGTATATCCAGTATTTTCCTGCGTAATTTTGATACTAATTTTTCTCCTGAGGATATTCTACCTTTTCTCAACGAAAGTAGTCAGTGTCTTGGAGTCTAAGTTGGTATGGTCATCATTGGAGAAGTCAGGAACGAAATGTGAGTTAATGGATCTGAGGTAGGTTTTGGAAGACTCATTATGAGCACAGGAAAGAAGCATGGCTGAAAGACAGACAAACAGAAACAGAAATGGTCTGGGTGGACCTTAGCAGATAAAGTAGCTACATATAATTTGATAGGAGAGACAGCTAGTTTATGGAATTTATGTTGAAATAAGTGAAGTGGTCTGGGAATGAAGTTGGTAACAGTTTTAATTGAAGAAATGAAAGGTTTAACATGTGGCTTCTCAATTTTGTAAATGAAAAGTTCAACACAGAAATCAAATTAAAAGTGACTGCAACAAAGCTAGTAATTCTACCAGCAGTCTTGGAAATGATTTTGAAAATACTATTTAGTTGACATCCAACATCCTGGCTTTAAGATTTTACTGCTGAATTGCAACAGTCCTCGAATGTCATTTTCTTATTCTTTACGACTAATTTACCACACTTTAAGGCAGTTTGCCGATTTCCTCCTACTTTAAAAAAGTTGTCATCTTCGTATACAACTTTACTGACTATCACTCCATAGTCAGTATTCCTTTTTAAAGTAGTTTCTGTGCTTTCCTAATTAGTTTATTCCCATTTGAACTTTGCTCATCGTGGTTTCTATAGGTCGTTTGTTATTTGGTGAAGACTGTGGTTTCTGTTGCTGGTGCTCGAAGATATTTTGACATGTTCTCTTGCTTCCTTTTCTGTTTACTTTTACTTTCCATTTAGCTCTCTGTGTATCTTTTTTTTTAAGTAGCATTTAAAAAATGGAAATTTCATTTTGCTGCGTTTAACCTTTTCTTTATCACGATTGTGGCGAAAAGAAAATACTATCTCTAAACACACTAAATTGTAACTAAATACTTACCGTTTCGTTATTGTAAATTAAAATGGTGTTGATTTCAAGAATGCAAATGACTCTAAATGGCGTCCATCTTTTCCATTATCTAAGCAAGTTGGCGAACAGCTCTCAAGTATTTTACCAACTGATAAAATACTTATAAATATTAAAGCAATTTTTTGCTTTACATTGACCACAAAACATTATTTATAAGGTGTATATAATATTATATTTTGTTAATAAAATAGACGTTTTATTTTATTATTTTCCCGTACACCACATGTATACTGAAAGATATCTGCACAATTGTATAATTATTCAAAATTTGAAATGAATGAATATAATTTAAGAGAAAAAACTAAGCCTTTGTTAATTAATTATCGTGTTATATATTTCAATTAAGTCAATTTGTTCTGTAACTCAGAAAAACGAAAGATGTGATGTTGTTGTTGCTCTTACGAATGTATTTCATTAGTAATTTCAGTGTGAAAATTGTACAATAAAGCATTTTACAATATAATGCTATATATATAACTTTCTGAAAATAAATAATATTTTATTAAGCATTTTGAAGCTGTATTTTAATGAATAAATATGTTAAAGCATGTATATGTATATGACTGATAATACAGATTAGTGTTATTTCATGCACTCTATAACAGGTTGACAGTCTTAAAGGTTTTTCAGAAAGTCTGTATATATGATATTCTTTACAAAGGTTTCAGAAGAACAATCGCTACGATAATCCTAGGCTGTGAAACCCTTATCAGGTCGCTGCAGCCGTGCATAAACCGGTCCTCGAGCACCCTTAATCCAGAACAGAGCAGGCACCGCTGAGAATGTAGGCAGCTCGCGCGATGCTCTGTGTTCGTTCGCAACTTCCTTACTTTTCAAACTCTATGGACTTTATAATATTCATGGAAGTTTTCATTCCAATTCAGACAAATATGAATGAACTTGCACATGTGCTTATCAGGCTTTTCAATATCCAACATGCCAATACTTTTGCTTCATGATTTTTTCTTTTTCTACCAATTAATACATACTATTTAAATCACAAGGTTTTCCAAGTTATCACAGGTACATACATGTATAATCTAACTATGTCAACAAAAAACAAAAACCCTTAATTTATTTGTATATACATGTAATAAACCCTTTTTAATGTATGGCCTTTACTTATTTATCTTACCTATTTTCAGAGTTTCACTATTTTATTGGAGAACCTAGAAAACGAATATATAAAACGTACTGGCTCGCTCGGGTGTAAATCATGATTCTGTTAATGAATGTGATCAAATAAACACCTCTAGTTAACGTAGAAACATGTCAGGTTCAAGTACCTTAATAAATAAGGAAAGGTGCTGGAACTAATAGGGATAGCGGAAGCTGACAGACTTTCACAAAAACTAATTGCTAACTGGGAATAATGTTTTTTTTTTGTTACCCTAGAATACTAAAGACATGGGATGGTATTATATTAAAGTTGTGTATGAGTTTTACGAATTGCCTCTTTAATCGCACGGTTAGCTCTTTTAAGTCTGACATTAGGTCAATAACTTGGACTTTCATCGCGTTTCTAAACAATAAATGTTTTAACTGTTTGATTTCCAGTGTACGCGAGAATTGAAATGATAATAAATCACTAGTTCTGTTTAGAGTATCTGCGATTATACAAAAGAAAAGTGTTTCAAAACATAAATAATAATCTCACAGTAAAGACATGAAAGGTACTTTATCAGTACAGGCGCTAGAAGGACGAAGTGTAAAGGGATTGCACCAAGGCCCTCAATCACAAAGAACCATACAGAGGTTCTTTCAGTCATTTTTATATTTCCTATCATACTGAACGAATGTTTAATGGGTTCCAATATAAACCCTCAGCATCAGGACCACAGAAAAACTGCATACTGACCGTTAGTTTAAAATATCTGACGTTTTTCTTTGAGTTTTTTTTATCAGCTTATTTCGTTAATCATTTTTTTTCTTATGAGTTTGATTAGAATGTGGTCACTTTATTAATTAGCTATTTTACAAATTCCAGTAAGTGTCATTTTTGTGTTTTGCAGCTACTGTAAACGTCATTTTGTATACCGCTATAAATTTCGAACTGCAGCAGTGGGTTCTTCTGTAGGGATTATCTTGTCATTCATTTCGGTCTACTTGAATATAAGGCTGTCGACGACGTGTGTCCTTTTTGTCTGCCCTTAAAATATAAAGACTGGTTGGCATGGAAGAAGCTTTTTAAAATGGGCTTATTTAAAATAGCATTATTATATAACACTGATCGTATTAAGATGAACTTCTAGAGTTTGGCCTGAACATTAACAGAAACAAAACATAACTTAATCAAGTTTGTGATTTTTAACGAAAAAATTCTCTTTCTCTCAGTAGAAAATGACATGTCTCTTCAAAACTTAGAGCAGTAGACCATTTTTTGAAAGTATATATGTGACCTAGCTAACCAAGATAATTATGGCATGACTTCAAGAATTTGAATTTTACTTCAAAATATTATTAAGTTCTAAGTGTCTACCACTTGTCTTTCAGTTGTACAATGAATCTCGTAGAAAAATTAAACGTATCTCTTTTATAATACAATCAGAATTGTACTTAATTATGTAAACCTAACATATAATCTACTTGATGTCCTCATCAGTGAAATATTTAGCTAAGTAAAATGTATAAAGTTTCCTTGTCTCATACATCTCTATACTTATCATCACCAGACTTTAATAAACTGAAATGTTATATAGCTATTGCTAATAAAATCTTAAAATGTGTTTAACACAAATAGTACCAAATTATTGGTTTTTGGAGAGGAAAATCGTGATGTTCAGTATTTTTTATGATTATTATTCCTAGTTCTCGATAATGGCTTTATTTATGAATGTTGTTAAAATCGAGTTTATGTTTCACAGATTGCGACATAAATTCCACGTGATCATAGAGCTTCAATTTCGAGAGGTCTTTGGTCGTGCGAAATTCCCAACATTGTATTGGGTTTGATATCGAAACTTCTCGGTCACAGCGAGTTCACATTATCTCTCACAGCTACGTTTTTAATTTCTCCTCTGTGGATTTATAACCGAAACTAAATTGGTTAGAAATCATTTATGAAAGCTAGGTTATCATAAGTTGACTGTGCGTAATAAAGTATTACGCTGTTTCTGTTATTGTTTTAATTGCAATACCTTAATTGTCTATATGTTTGTTTGTGTTTTTCGATTGTCATGCTTCCCTAAAATTATTAAGATAAATCAACAGTTTTTAAATTATCCATATTAAATTTTGTAACAGGTATGGTTCCAGAACCGCCGTTCGAAAGAAAGACGTATGAAACAACTTAGTACCCTCGGAGCTCGACGCCATTTTTTCAGAAGCCCCAGACGAGCTATGCGGCCGATACGACCTGGGATGTCCCCTGATGGACTGGACGACAGCCCTGAGATGGTGATAGGCCCAAATTCTGGCTATGGATATTTTTCGGGTCAGTTAAATTTAAGATTTTATGATAGATAAACATTCATTTTGCTTTTTTAGGGTAATGAGTTTGATCTGAAGTCAGAAGTATCAAAGACTGTAGAGAAAACAGACAGAAAATATTGAATAAGATAAAAAAATTGCCAAACATTCTCGAAGGAGACATTTTTCTTGATGCTAAGTAAATGAATCGGAACTGAAAAGGACAACGTTTCCTTTGATCTTTCAAACAGAGGACGTCACTGTAAATAACATCAGAATTAATGCATTACATTAATGCATTACATTAATTACAGCTTCAAAAGTCTTTCACAAACAGTTTTAATATTTCACTATTAACTAAGTCTCATTTCTCGTGAGCTTCCAAAGTCATTAGGTGTAAAATACAGAAGGATAAATGTATACATAAATATATATATATATATATATGTATATTCCTTAAGTAACAATGGGAACAGTTACCTTGGTTTAGCGTAGCTGGCTTTAGAGCTGATGCGTTATCTAATGTGTCCTTTTCGTTAATTACAATATGTTAAAACGTTTTTATACACAAACCAAAAAATATTTTCAATGACCAATTCTTTATTCTCGTAAACACCCGAGTTTATTAACAAATATCAAAAGATATCGTAAAACGTAGGTCGTGTAAAAGAAGTTTCATGCAGTGGATGACGCTTTCTTTTGAACAGAGTAGCAAGCTTGCTGGAAGACGAGATTTCGAATTCCTTACGCAGATCTTCATGAGGCTTTATGAATCTGGTGAGAGCCTGCGTTATGAGCTCGAAACGTCTTTTATAATTACTACAGATGTGTTGTTACGTCTTTTTAGTTTGAATATTTATATTGAAAGTTTTATTATATAAGATGCTATTGTTCTCTTGATGGTTGATAAACATTCCCAAGAAATCTCCGTGTTTGGGCAATACAATCGATTAGTGATCTCGACAAAATAAAATGTTTGCAGAAAGATTTGAAGATAATAGTCATGTTATTTACAGAGAACCAGCGAAATAGTTTTATGACTGTTTCTACCCCCGTTGATAAATGGAATATTATTGGACATTTCGCAAGATTCAGTACTCAATTGTTTAAAAATAAACCTTCTTTAAAAATAATAATTATTTTTCTTTAGCTGGCACAGTTTTTACTTGAATTTTCAAATGAAAAAAAAAAAACTCTTCAGTAGGTCAATAGCATGAAACGTTTTGGTTTAAATTTTCAAAATAGAAGTCAGTGTGCCAGTTAAAAATAGTTTATCTTAATTTGATTTCTACATATATCTATATAAAACTTGATGACTCTGGCTCGGATTTCATTAAAGTTTTTGGCAGCGTGTGATGATGATGGTTAAGAGTTATGATACCTTAAATATACAATAAACCGTACAATAATTATTTTCAATTATCACTTTACTCAGTACATGTGTGGAAGTAAATAAAGAAATGCGACATCTATACATACTCTGATTAGATATAACTTTAAACACCTGTCGGGCGCCTTGTTTAGTCACCAGCACGTGGCGTTCTAGTTCTCAAGTACACATTACAGTCGTCCAAACCACACTTGACAACATGACAGTTATGGCAACAACAAGTGTGTGCAAGTATCTTTAGGCTGTATGCATTTCCCGGTCGGTGCATGTGCTTCATTTTCAAAGAGTCTCTCGGGATAAAAGCCCACTGACGGTTTTTATCCGAATAGAAAATTGCGGGAAGCCCTGTAAACACTCATTCACGTGGTTTCGCATCTTCCAACGATGACGCCCAACGAACACATGTTCCTGCACGCGACTGTTCTCGTCCAGCAGATGGTGAAACGACGTCGAAATGCTTCGGGGCCTAACATATTTTTCTTTCTTTCTGCCATAGTAATAGTATTAATGTCAATATGAAGTGTTTTTATATATACAAGAAACATTCGAAAAGATTAACGTTTCATGCACCACTAGAAAGATTTCTGATGAGTTCACACAGATCCAAAAGTATTTTCTTAGAAAACTGTAATTTATTAACACAATATAATATCCAAAAGGTTCTACTAATGTGCGATAATACAGCAAACGTTTTAAATTATTATAAAATACGGCTGTTATTTATTAACAAGATAAAATTGTTTGGGGTCACATCAACCCCAGCTTAGTATTCAAGGGTTAACAACCTACCTATAAGTAAGTAGCTTATAGGAAAATTCTATATAGATGTAAATAATGCTTACCAAAATGAAATGTAATTAACTTTATGTAGTTTTCTTATGTGAATTGAATTACTAAATAAACTTAAAAGAAATGTAATGCCTTTTTTATAATATTTCAACGATAAACAGTTCAAAGTTACTGAGGAAGAACCAGTCACGTGATACAATAACTGACCACGAGCGCGAGGTCACTGTACGTTACACGTCATTTATGCAAGATGTGTGAACAAGACATCTTCTTATTTGCATGATGAGTTTATCACAAAAGTGTTTTATAGAGGACATGTAATAGATGAATTGATTCCAGGCGTTAGTATGTATAGCATTATAGAAGCGTTATGCGCAAACGACCTTTTAATAGCGCACAGTTTAAGTTGATGACTTGATCTTGACCTCAGGACGATAACTAATTCAGTGTGCGTATTTTGCTGAATGTCAATATTTACAGTAAATGCAAAAGTTTTTTTCATGAAATTGTTTTCCAATTAAGCCCCCAAGTGGCACAGCATTATGTCTGCGGACTTACAACGCTAGGAACCGGGTTTCGATACCCGTGGTGGGCAGAGCACAGATAGCCAATTACGTAACTTTGTTATTAACTTTAAACAAACAAATTAAATCATAGTGTATATATATATATATAGACACATACATCTAACTACACAACAGGCTGAAATCACGCAGGTAAAAGCTTAACATTTTCCTTTCTCAACAAGGAAAGGAAATGAATACATTAAAATCTAAATTAAAAACAACTTAGATCAGCTATACCTAAAGATGTTTCAGCATTCTATTATCCATGCAAGTGGGAGGTTGTTTCTAACGATCTTGCACATTACAAGGAAGATTTACATATGCTGACGCACAGGCGACTCGTCTAACACCTATGTATTTGGTTCACGGCGAATTCCCAACCATTCGACAGTACAATGCTGCAACAAGTATATTTATAGCTGGAGGAAGATGTAACGGTCGTTTCCGAAGGGGGATCTTTGTATAGAGAAATAAAAAAAAAGGTGGAAAAAAACCTCGGTAAACCAATTTCGAAAGGAGCTATATATATATATATATATATATACCATAGAGAATAGTATCGACAAAGGAAGATTAGTATGAAAATGTAAAACAATCTAAACAGGAGATCGTTTAGGTCTCCTTCTCCCCCCCCCCCCAGAAAGTGGGCCCAGTATGGCCAGGTGGTTAGGGCGCTCGACTCGCAATCTGAGGGTCACGGGTTCGAATCCCCCTCCCACCAAACATGCTCGCCCTCTCAGCCGTGGGAGCGTTATAACGGAACGGTCAATCCCACTATTCGTTGATAAAAGAGTAGCCCAAGAGTTGGCGGTGGGTGGTGATGACTAGCTGCCTTCCCTCTAGTCTTACACTGCTAAATTATGGACGGCTAGCGCAGATAGCCCTCGTGTAGCTTTGCGCGAAATTCAAAACAAACAAACAAACAAGCCCAGAAAGTGATTGCTACCAAGTTGCGCAAACGGCAATCAATTGTACACAAGGCAATTCACAAAGTTCTTGTCCTTATAAACAAAGGTAAACTGTAAGTGCACAAGTGAGAAAGAGAGACAAACTGCAGAAACAGCACGAAAAAAATGGATGTTTATTGCAACACTTGACGAGGTCTGATCGTGTGTGGACGACAGCGACAAGTAACTGAAGATTTGCTACCAAAAACAAGATGATAAGGGGTTTCTAGCATGATGCATTGAATGTATTGTTCTTGCAGATTTATCTTCTAATGGGAAATTTCACAAAATGTAAAGCAAAACAAAGGTGAACGTATTGACAACAATCATGCAAGATTGTATGGTCGCGACGCCAGTAATGTGTCGTTACTTCATGAAAAAGCGTTAACTCGGTGTATTAACGTCCACTGAAGCATTTTCTAAAAGACTTCTTGTAAAATGAAGGTCTGTAAAAAGTTTTCCACGTAAGATGCATGATGTAAAACTGACTGTTATTCGCAGAAGTATGCTACGTTGGAAATTGCAGTGTTTGACAAAAGCGGGTAATCATAGCCATCAGAATGAGAGCGAATGACAACGCTTCAGGCAATTTGAAGGGCAGCATGGACCTAGAGTGTCATTCTTATAAAGGACAATTAACCCTGAATGTATATGCCACAGCATTCACCATTTTTTAAACTTGCATAAAGAATGCATATTATGGTTTCATATAAAGAGAAAGAAATTGTTTTTACGTTTTTACGTCACCGACACTTCTCTTGACACTTAACTTTAAAAGTTGAAAAGTTGGTAAGAAGAACGCAATACTGTCTTTTGAAAGAACATTTACAAAAGTTGTCTGGAAATTGGAAATAGAAAACACTAATCTGTTGATATATTTATGAGAAATACAAAATTTATCTAGCAACAGAAGTAACATAACACTTGTTAAGTAACAGAAGTAACATAACACTTGTTAGGTAACACAAGTAACATGCCACTTGTCTGATAACAGGAGTAACATAACATTTGTCGGGTAACAGGAGTAACATAACACTTGTCTGATAATAGGAGTAACATAACACTTGTGTGCTAACAGGAGTAAGACATCACTTGTTTGATAATAGGAACAACACAAAGTTATCCCTTAGTTAGAGAAACACAACAATTGTCTGTTTATAGAAGTAACACAGCTGCTGACCATTCATATAAGTAGCACAACATTTGTCTTTTGAAAAAAAAAACACTACACCGTCTTTTGAAAATAATAACACAAGAATATATTTTGAAAAAGTAATGCAGCACTTGTATATTCTCATACGTAACATAATTTATCAGTTTTAAAGAAAGAATA